GACTTTTATACTGCAGTCAGAGCAAACGGGATCTGAGCAGCATCTGCCTGGTTCACGTTTACGTGGACGGCAGCACTTTACTCGCTCTTATAAACGTAACAGCGAGAAAAGACCGAGAGCTTTTTATTTTAATCCAGCAGGGAGAACAATACAGGTGTTCTTCTATGCCTCCTGTGAGCAATTCCAGCATTTTTTAAAAGAAAAGCAACGCGGACACGCTAATTACAGTGCGGTTTCAAAGTGAAAGTAAAAACATGGCGGCGYTCCCGTCCGCAAAAGTGAAACTYAAACACACAGCTGTTCTCTCTACCACTCATAGTCCAACACAGAGGGCAGAAACAACTAAATTAGACAGTTAAAACACATTTACTGTTCATAACTCACCCTTATTGTTGTTGGCACTCTGTCTCACAACATTAGCAGCCACTCTCTCGCCGAGGGAAGGGCGGCAACRTGCGCTCGCGTGACCCAAAGAATGGATCGGCAGAACGTATCGGCTGATACGATATAAGGAAAAAAAACGTAAATATCAGCCAAAAATATCGGCCGGCCGATGTATCGGTCGACCCCTAGTCTTTACTCAGATATTAAACAAACCACTTTTGATTCCTCTTACATCTACATCTACTCGTGGAGCACACAGTGGGAACTGTAGGGTTCCTTTAAAAAAAACTTCTTTGGATCAAACAGCTTTTCTGCTCGAGAGATTAACACGTGAAATTCCCTTCTTGTAGATTTGAAACTGATTTCTGACTGGACCCATTTTAGATCAAGACTGAAGCAGTTTCTGAAGGAGAACCAAGTTACCACTGTTTAAATTGTGTTATTATGATCTATTTTAAAGTCTGTTTTATGAATTTACTTAATAGTATTTTATTCATTTTAAGCTGTTTTATTTTTAGGTTGCTTAAAGCTCATCTAGAGGCTGGTATTGTAAATTAGCCTAAGCCGTAAATGTTTTAACGTACATCCCTAAACTTATAAACAACAAATGAAATGTAGAACTGTTGAGACATCAAATAATACCAGTCCAGTTTTATTACTCGACATAGGTAAAAAAAAATGACTTAAACTAACTAAACGTCAAACTACTTCATACGTAAAGTACTGTTCATAAGTCTTATTTCTTCACACTTTGCTTCAACAGAGTTAGACTTTTCTTGTAATTTTTCTAAGTTGATCAACAGCTCTTCATCTTTCTGTGGGCCTTTCAAAGTTTTTCTCTAGACATCTGCTCCTTTTTTGTTTTTCAGTTCAGTATAGGGCTGCAACTAACGATTATTTTAATAATCGATTAATCGGTTGATTATTTTTTCGATTAATCGGCCAAATAATTAAAACGCTTAACTACATGAATATGAGTAGATATAAATTAAGTTAACTCCTTAAGGATGCAAGTTATTGAT